GTTCCCGATGTGCCCATGTGCCCCCCTCCCCCTGTGTACACCACTGGCGGTCATGTTTTGTGTAAAGTACCAATTGATAACATCCCCCGCCACATTGTGTTTCACACACGAGCGCAGCTATAGCAGAGATAAGAAACCAACTTATCTCCTTTGCACTGAGGGCGGATGCGATAACATCACCCTGCGTGCCAGACTTCCCATCAATTGTAACTCAAGCAAAGACAAATGCGCCGCCAGTGTCCAAGGAGCAGGAAAGAGCTAGGAACGCAAGGGGGGCGTTGTTATGAACTTTATCACTGGCCCAGGCGCTGTTTACAGCTGGTGTACCCCTTTACCTTGTACTCTCAACGCCATCGTTGCGCCATTTTGGAGGTCTATTCATGCCGTTTGTGCTATACAGATAGAATCACACTGGTCTAGAGGAGCGGAGCACATGCCTGTCAACACTGTTGTTGACTGCGGCTTCTATCTCATGTTAGCTACAAGCTTCCGTTGATGCTTACATTATAGCCTAAGAACCTAAAACGCAGTATGACCATGGTTGGTATTATTACGCCGTCTCACTTTACATATTTTTGAAGAAAATGCCAGCTGGAGCGGCCGGCTGGGCGCTCTAGACAAGCCTGATTCCAACTGTACGTGCATTGGCATGCAAGAGATGTCCCGGGGGTCTCTAGTCTCTCAAGTCGCGGATATCAAACACAGCGCATTCAGCAAGCTTTTGTGAGTGGGGCAAGTGCGTGGACCTTGGAAATCGCAACCCCGCCGCTAGCGCTTCTTACAGATGACGTCAAACCTTATTAATGGTATAAAAATACCACAATTTGTTGGTATTGCATTGATTGCTAGGAGCGTAAATAAAACTAACAAATTGTATCTTTTGGATTTGATATCGCGTAACTCAAGAGAATGCTGGCTAAAGAGATAATAATCAATCCATTTGCTGAAGAGGTTTTCGTGCTGCCAGTTATCTAAATGCAAAGTAGAGGTTAGCAGCACAGAAAATTTACGAGCAGTCTCATTATGCCTCTAGACAGCGCGCGCCAGCTACTGCACTGTTCAAGCGACGAAGCAGGCTCCCCTCCCTTCAAAACGAAGCAATGAATGCGATGCCGTGACGTCCATTTTTTTTTTAACCATCAGCTATTGGCCTTGGAAAGCGAGAGGCGGATGTGCAGAAGCACAGATGCTTCACAGTGAGCCTTCCGACACTAGAGCTGCCAGCGATGACCTCCCTACTGAAAGCTGCACATCTTAAAACTGAATGGCATTTGCTCCGACCAGGAGGCATGCTTTTATTAATGTGATGGTATTTAAAAAGAAAGCACGTGAGAATTTTCTAGTCGAACCCTAGCAACCTCGAGTTCGAAAGGGCACATTCTTTTAGGGGCTTATACCACCCCAGTGATTATAAACACAGATGTGCTGGTGGAAGGAATTATGAAAAAGCTCTTCTGTACAATGATCCATGGATAAAGTGTATTAGAAATGTCAACGTGTTCCCATCATTCACATGTTTTTCTGTGGACGCAAAGCATGAAAAATTAAATCGCGATGTCCAGAAATAGACGTGACATACATTCTGGTGGCACGCATGCAGTTATTAGTGAAAACCCCTTTATTACATGCCGTGCAACAGTTCAAACGAGTCATCAGCAGCGATCCTGAAACGGACTACGTCCGCCGATGAATCGCCGCCACAATTTCACTCTACTGATTGGCCTAGACGTCATAAGCTCTTGCGGAGAGCGCCTTTAGCCGTTAAGCGGACTTGCACAACAGAGTTGCGTCGGCACCAAACACAGTATTGTAAATTTTAGGACGCACGCGCAACCACTGTTTATTCAGCGTAATAAAATAGGTATGTGATTGTGGCTTCGGTGGCCCGGAGAACAAGGTGCACATGTATTGATGCGCCGGCGTGGCTATTGCCAGTGATAGATGCTCCCAAATCCAGCTTTGGTGCAGTATGGCGCAATTTCCATTGATATTATCAGGATGGCGCAGTAAGTCTGGCACACTTTGGCACAGGAGTGGGATCAACGTTATATAGCATCCACTGTAGATGTCTTCCGGTATATTTAGGGCTCGTTCATGCCCCAATTCTGCAGTGCCTGCATTACTGCTGATATCTCGAATGAATCAAACGCCTCCTCGTAATCTAAGAAAGCTATGTACAGGGGTTGGTTGTATTCCACGCATTTCTCTATTACCTGATTGATAGTATGAATATGGTCTATTGTGGAGCAGCCTGTACGAACTCCTCTTGGTCCTTTCGTTGATTTAACTCTAATGCCGCCTTAATTCTATTAGCCATTATTTTTGTAAATAGTTTGTAGAGATTGGACAGTAAACTAATCAGCCTGTAATTTCTGAAGTCCTTGATGTCTACTTTCTTATGGACTAAGATGATGCTGACGTTCTTCCAAGATTCTGCTACCCTTCTTGTCAAAAGACACTTTGTATATAAGGTGGCCAGTTTTTCAAAATTTCTCCGTCATCTTTCAAAAGGTCCGTTGTTACTTTATCTTCACCAGCAGCTTTCCCTCTTTGCATTCCTTCTAGGGCTTTCCTTACTTCACTGTCATTACTGGTAGGATGCCAAATTTCTCTGGGCTATTGATGCTTCTTACAATATCATCCTGGTTGTTTTGGCTTCTGTACAGCTCTCTGTGGAACTCTTCTGCCGCCTTAACTATCCTATCCATATTGATTATGACATTGCCTTCATTGTCCCTCAATGCATACATCCAAATTTTGCCTATACACAAATTTGCCTTCGCAGCTTTTAGGCTTTTGCAGCTTTTAACAGCCTGGTCAATCCTCTTTATGTTATACAGTCGAATTGCAATATTTCGAACACACTTAATTCGAACTTCCGGTTAATTTGAACTCATGATGAGGTCCCGTCGAAGCTATGTGTATTCCAATGGGCGAAAACACCCAGTAATTCGAATGCCCAAGCACTTCCGATGGTTAATTCGAACATACCGCGCTTCCAAAATACTATCAACACCCCGCCACATCCCGCCGCGGCACCTGCAACACCTCAACGCTGCAAGGAAATGAAAAGGAAGGAAAAAGCTGCGGTGGAATGCTTGCTCTCTCTCAAATGCCGATCTGAAAAGGCTGTGGTGGAATGTTTGCTCTCTCTCAAATGCCGATCAGCAACACGCCCGTGTCATGCTTCTCCTTTTTCCGTCCCTGCCACGTAAAGACCCTCCTCCTTCCAATGCAGCGTGCAAAGAGAGAGGGGAAAAAAAAAAGAAAGCCATAGCTGGGTTGAATGATTGTGTGATAGAAGGAAAGGAAAAAAGGCACTATCTTCTGCAGCCCTTGCCCCTTGCGGGAGCACAACTCTGGGCCTTGAGGGGAGGAGGGGTCTCTCATGCGCCGGTGCCCCGCTTCCCTCTTTCCCTTCTCTGCCATGTAACCCTTCTCCTTTCAACAACTCGCACGAAGAAAGAGAAAAAAAAACTGCCGAGGAGTGTTGGTTTTCTCTGAAATACTGGTCTGCTTCTCTCCACGTTAGATGCTCCTCCTTTCTCGTCACGTGCTGGCCATGCTGCGGCTGCGTAGCGGACAGCGGGAGGCTCTGCTACGTACCACCACCACCACGCAGCAGTCATTGTTGTCGTCATCTTTAGAAAGTGTCGGCGCTGGACATTTTCGCGTGCAACTCCTCTTGCCAGGAAAATGCTGAAGCCGAAGTAGAAATGCATTGCAAGCTGTGTGCGATATTGATTGACTCGCTCTAAGACAAACGTGTGCAGACGCACATCACTGATTACTTCAATTATAAGCGATGTTTGTGATTTGCGAATAAATGTAAGTGTTTTTCAACTCCCCCCTCGTGTGTTTGCTCAATGCACATGCGCAACTGCATGGAGAGCCCTTCGTATATTTAGCTTTCATTAATTCGAACTTCTTTTCACGGCTTTTCACCATTCTGTCACTTTTCCTCTATCTGCATGAATCAGAATCAAGCTGCTCTTCTTTTTTCCTCGCAGCCGTGAGCGCTTTATCACCACGGTAGCACCCAGCCAGCAACCTACATTTACACCAAAGACGGACGCCCACATGTTGGCCACCTTCGACGCACTCCGTCACTTCCTCATCGCAGCCGCAGGTGACCTCGTTCGCTGGTTGCATGCTTGGCAGCAGCACTTTATCAGTAGGCATGCGGTCCGTCATGTGGCTTCTTTTCAACTTTCGTAGGCTTTCTCAACAACACGGAAAAAATAACAGCATGAGACGTATGATACAGGAAACAACTCAGTTAGTGGTTTCTGAAAGTGCTCTACAGTGCAGTGCTTATATTATTGAAGATTTTAAGTGAATAATTAAACAAATTAGGTATTTAAAATAATTAATTATTGGATTGGGAAGAAATAAAGAATACCCTGAGTATCTATAGACTGGTGCGAGTAGTATGCGACTGGTTCAATTCACCACTGAAGCGCCTTTCACCTCTGACGTAGGAGCCCTAGTATTTTGCGCTATGGACTCATTTCAAACTCACACTCACCCAAATATTCGTGAGTTAAACTCACCCGAACTCTAACTCACAAAAATTTTCTTCCACCAAACTCACACAGACTTATATTCACCAAAATGTTACTTAACCCGGACTCACTCAGACTCGCGACTCGATCCGAGTCTGAATGAGTCCGAGCGAGTTGACTCATGAGTGAGTTCGCCAACCTATGCACAGAAGTGAGGAAGTTAGCAACAAAAAGTTGAATACGGCAGCTACAAAAGAGCAAAATGTAAAAGCGAGATTAGAGAATATAGTGAGCTACACGGAAGTAAAAAAAATATTCACAAACACTGCGGAAGTCAGCAGAGCAGATAAAATTCCACTCTATCTTGAAATATTCCAATCAATAACATTCCGATCAATTACATCTGCATAATATTTATGCAAACGTGCAAAAAAAAACAACTTTGCTTAACACTGCTTCCTCTCTCATAAGCATGAGATGTGCTGAATTGTTTACCCTTGTTTTCAAGTGGTCCAATGCCATCTTCAAGGTCAAGCAGCTGTGAGGGAAGAAACTGTGATGGGACATTGCTGGCTGGGGCTGGTTGCAGCGTGGTGGCTGTTGCAGCTGGAGGGTTGGCCAGGGGCTCAGGCTTGGTGAGTAGCGAGCCACCGAAGGAGAGGCTCTTCTGTGGACTAGGTGGTTGATGGCCAAAGGCCGTCTGCCACTGCTGGGCAAAGCTATCCTCAGGTGCTCCTGCTTCAAAAGCAGCTGGATAGACCGACTCAGACGAGGCCAGGATCTCTGCGAGCAAGGTCATGTCGTCCTTCTCCAAGTCACTGATCTCAGGGTTGTGAGTCAGCAGGTCTTCTCGCCCTGCATGAGTACACACCACTTTCCCATTACATTTCACACTCATATGTAGTTTACTAGCGCAAGGGCCATTTATTGGCCAAAGAATGCCAGAACATAATATTGTATATGAACAATGGTTGTATTAGGTGACTGTATAGTGGTCTAAAATTCCTCGTACCTAAGCCGGGTAAAATCATACATGTAATAAAATAATGAGATCAACGTGAAATTCATGTATTAAAATCATGAGATCGACGTGAAATGCGTGTATATACAATGTATAGCAAGTCAGAAATAAAACTTTGGAGACATCCAGTATGAGCACGGATGACTCTTCGATGCCCTTGAAACTAAGGACCACGAGGCAAAAGCTGCCTTTATGTTCAACTATCGCAGCAGGAGCAGCCTCTATTAAGAGGCCGTTCAATAGGATTCCTGGGTAAATAATGTGAAAGCTATGCACATCTTTTAAAAATGAAAACAGTGCCTGATACTTAAAGAGGGGTTCCCGACCCACAAACATCGATGGATGGAGTGGCATCTGTTGTCGGTAGCACAGTAAAAGGTGTTTGTCTCTTATATCTAGTTTTGTACATTGTATGATAACGTGAAGTACGTTAAGTGGTTCACCACACCTGTCACACATAGGTCGGCTTTCAGCTTTCGTGGGACAGAAGGTATGAATGCGTGCTGTATGTGTGTCTGATCCTTTATCTACTGGGTGACTTCTGTCAGTCGTGACTTCGATACTGATGGTCGCTTTCCGAGTAGGATTTTATAATATGCAGTTGATTTTGTGTTTCACGGTCCCATAACCACTGCCAGTAATCCCCGAGTGTTTTCTTAAGCAGCGGTTTCAGGCACATTGCAGGGATAGCTATGGAGAGGTGTTTTGAAGGGCACATGCCACCAGCTGATCCACCAACACATTTCCGTCAATCTCTCGGTGCCCTGTCACCCAGCATAGCACAATATGTTGATTACATACCTGCCAAGTTCATGGGTTCTGAATCCAGGAGATTTCTGCAATGGGGGTGGGGGGAATTGCGCTGAATAATTTGTCACCATTTTTGGGGGGGGGGGGGCAAAAGAAAAAAAAATACATCGTCGCAAAAACAAAAAGGGGGGGGGGGGGGTCTCAATCACAAGCGCCAACATCGACGTTGCGATCTTATATACGCTTTTCCACAGTTAGTTTTCTAAGCAAAAGTAGATGGCGCCCCAGCACCAAAGCACCATGGCTTGCTCCTCGGCGGCACGGTCGCAATATGGCGTGTGGCGGACGTTGCCCTGCAGCCTACGGCCAGAAACTGGCGGCACATACTATGCGGGAGTGGGCGAGCATAGCAAGAAAATGTGTCTCGCTATATAAGTGGCTCTTTATTAGAAGATGAAGAAGAGAGGAAAAAGAAAACGCTTCTTTCTGTCTCTCATTTCACAGACACGGCTAAGCACCAACTCATTAGGAGTTAGCAGTTTGAAGGAAACTTTGCAGTCTATCAGCTGCCACTGCCACGGCGGAGGCTGTACAACAGGATCCATTACATGGTGCTCAAAGAGTGGGATCCCCATTTCCTCTGCTAGACTTCGTACACGGGTTGAGTAGGGCTTTCTCAGTGCTGAACAGATGTTAAAGAGATGAAAACTCATCCGATCATTTATAACGCTGTTTATGGGACGTTCCCTGCTGGCATCGGCTTTCAAAAAATATACTGAGGATATGTAGGCTCTCTGCAGATGGAGTAACCATTCATTACAATTCCCGCAAAGGCTTTCTACAAGGCTCGTCCTGAAGGCGTCCGTTGAAAACTAATTCCTAGATGGTGGACAAGATCAAGCATCTTTAAAGTGGTTGGTGTTGCTGACTGATATACTACTACAGCCCCACAATCCAGGTGTGTGCGTATGAGGCCTTTGTACAAATTTATAAGACAACCTTTGTCACTATCCCATGCAGTGCATGACAACACCATTAAACATTCATTTTCATGCACTTTTCCTTTAGGTGTTTAATGTGTGACACGAAAGTAAGTTTTGCATTTATTATTATGCCTAGAAATTTGTGCTCCATTTTGACAGGTAGCCTCTGACCACGTAAATCAATGTCAGGATCAGGGTGCAGACTTCTGTTTCTACACAACAGGATTCATGTACTTTTTTGTGGGTTTATGCTGACCCTTTTTCGTTCTGCCTGCTTGGCCACCTTGTTCAAACCAAGTTGAACTTGGCATTTGCAGATTGCAAGATTACAGGATTTGAGCCACAGCTGAATATCATCCACATAGACAGAGTAGAACATGGTGCGTGGGATGCACACACGAAGGAAACTTATTTTTCTCAAGAAGAGTGTGCAGCTGAGGGCAACACCTTGTGGTACTCTAGTTTCTTGGACAAACACTCGTGATAACACGTTTTCCACTCGCACATGGAAAGTGCGACCGGACAAGTAATTTTTGACGATGGTCCCAGTACACCTAAATGCCCAGTACACCTAAATCTGCCCAGTACACCTAAATGTGAAAGGTCTCTCAGTATTCAAAAGCGCGAAGTCGTATCCTAGGCCACGTCAAGGAATACCGAGAGAAGGAATTGTTTATGAAGAAACACTTCACATATTTCTGTCTCAATTCATATTAAGTGGACCGATGTGCATTGACCCTCTCGGAATACACACTGGCACAGGTCAAGTATTTTGTTGGTTTCAAGAAAGTAAATAAGCCGGCGGTTTATCATCTTTTCTAAAGGCTGGTGCATACCGGCGACTAGCAGCGGTCGCGTGACCATTTGCGACTGGTCGCAAACAGTCGCAAACGGTCACAAACGGTCGCAAAGCGACTGCTTTGGCTAGTCGCTGCCTGACCGATTTTCCAGTCGCGCGACTGCGGTCACAAAGCTGCTGGAACCAATCAGCGATGATCAATTTTCGTTGTTTGTTTTTTCATTGTGCTGGCGAGAACGGATAAAAACAAGAAATGCGGCGCTCTCGGTTTGCTCCACTCACTCAGCTGGCGGCGATCAATTGACCGGTGCCGGTCTCCAGAGTTCTCACTGATAACGAGATCCGGACGTGACTTTCCGCTATTGCGACTTCCGGTCGCTCGCATGCAGCCTCTGTCGCTGTGAACATCAGTCACTTTTTGGTCGCCAGTTGCAAATGACCGCGCGACCGCTGCTAGTCGCCGGTGTGCACCAGCCTTAAAAGTTTGCACAGGCAGCTTGTTAATGCAATGGGCTTGTAACTTGTGATTGAGAATGGGCCCTTTGCCTTGTTTTAAAATAGGAACTACAATAGCCTCTTTCCATGACGTAGAAATCTAGCTAGTGTACAATATGACATTGTACATATAGGGAAGGCAGTGTTCTTTGTGTTTCAAGAGGTAAATTTTTCAGAATTTCATATACTATGCAGTCGAAACCTAGGGCAGGTTTGTTGCAACAGTTTAGTGATGCCTGAAACTAAGCCAAGCAAAAAGGCTCATTGTATTCCTCATATTCTCTGCACTTCCGTTCCAGTTTTTGACTAATTTCGTCTTATACTTTTGAAAGCTTTCTGAGTAATGTCACGACCTGAACACATGTTTAAAGTGAGCATCGAGGAAATTCACTTGGTCCTCCAAGGTTTCACTCTGGGTGTCTACCAAGGGCACCGAATAAGCTTGTTCACCACTTACTTTTTTTACGCCATTCCAGACTTTTGTCTCATATTTATAGGCGTTCACACCTGATATGAACTTTTGCCAGCTGGCCCTTCTAGCCTGCCGGCGGATTCTCCTTCCTTGTGATTTGACCTGCTTGAAATTCATTAGATTTGCTGCACTGGGGGAATTAGGCAGAAGACCTCACGCATTATTTTGTTTCTTTCGGGTTTCGCGGCATTCGTCGTTCCACCAGGAAACGCGACGTATACTGATGGCACTAGCTTCTCGTATAAATTTTGTGGTTTCATTGATGATAAAAGCAGTAAAGTACTCCACAGCAGCATCAATACTAAAACAAGACAGGTCCGCCAAAGAGATCTTGACAGCCTTGTGAAAATCTTCCCAGTTGGCTTTGTCAAGCTTCATCCGGGGAGCCTGGGGCGGAGATTCATTTTGTGTTTGTGTTACAAGAAATATTAGAAAGTGATCACTACTATATAGGTTTTTAACCACTTCCCAGTTAAAATCAAGTAAAATGAATGGGGAGATGATGCTAGGATTGATGAAGGAGTACGCAAAAGTATGGGACCGGTGCACCTATATATCCTAACTTCCGCACAGCCGGACATCCTCTACATTGAACGCTGCGCGGCGTTGAAGCCCAGAAAGTGCATTTTTCCTAGCGAATATTGATCAATTTTAGGCCACGTTCTAGCAAGTTCTGATCCTTTTTTTGTGCACAAGCGAGGAAAAAACAACGTTCTTTCATCGCGCCGATCTGGTTCGTTACGCGGCACTTGTGAGTACATCTGTACGTTGGATGCGCAATCTGCAGGTCTTAGTGCACGGGATTAGTGTTTTCCAAAAGACCGATTGCCTAGAGCACCAAAATGAGAATGTGAAGTGAATCAGAGATCTCAGTGCAATGGTCGCAGTCCCTTCCTTGTTTGTTAGCGCACAATGACATGCGAGCCTGAAAAGCATGGCCTTCTAGATGTGGAACCTAGTGACATATTTTTAGTCTTTTCGGTTTTAGAACGTGTGTCTCGGAGGCTATGTTTTTTTTGTCTTTTCGCATCAAAGCCGCCGAAAGCAGAGGCTGCCAGCTACAAAGCCACAATGACATCAATATCGCCAACATGTCGACAGTGGGAACTCTTGACAAACTCAGCGTTGTGTCTTTTGTATATTGCGACTTCTCACCTCGTTCCTGATAAATCCTCATTTGGGAGTTGAACTGAACGTTCACCCGTATGTAGCGATAAAAATTATGACTTGTGCTTGGAGCGACGTCAAGTAAAACACTGTCTTAAACGTTTTTTTGCGGGCCAGGTGACGACTTCGGGTGCATCATGACCGCTGACAACAATACGGTGCCTCAGTGGATTCTGCAACTTATCAGCGTTTCCGGGCACCATCTCGGACAGTAAGCGACTTCATCGGTACAGATGACGGCGTTGCTCTTTTGACTGTATCGATGTAAAATTTTGGCCACCGATGCCGCGGTAGTGTAGCTGTGTGGTTATGAATGTGCCAACGTTTTTGCTGCCGCCACTAACCAACCTTCTGCTGCATTACAAAGCTTGCATCGGTGTTCTGCATCAATCGACGTCATGGCCGAAGAAGTTAAGTTTACTTTTTCGAAAAACTTCAATGAATTAAGGATGACTGGAACTTGACGGTTTGCAAGAAGCAAGACAAGTTTACGGACTATTTTCATGCGAAATAAAGTGTGGCAACCGGCAGTTCGCACCTTGTTTTTCATTATACTGTGAGCGAATCATTATGTTAGCTCTTGAAGATTTTTGAGGCCTGAAATGCTTAAACTTAGGCCTTGAATACACATATATTGCATTTCGATTTCTCGATATATCAAACTATTTTGCAATCCTCTTCGAGTTAGATATATCCAGGATCAACTGTAGTATTTTCTCCATCTTGAAAGCGTGTGTGTACTGCGTGTCTTGGAAGAAAAAAGTGGCTTATTTCTGAGAGCCTTTGTCAAGCCCTCTGATTGGCATTTTGTCTTTTTTGGAGCGGTCGAGAGGCTCTCGCCAATTCTTTGGCGCAGTCTTCGCCGTTGGTCCAGTGATGTCCATCGCCTCTGAAGAGGTGCCAGACAGTCGTGTACGTAGGATAGGCTTCGTCATGATGGACACAGCCTTTGTCCCCACCGGGCCAGAGGTCGAGGGGACCTCTTTAGTTTGTGCGCTGCCCTGGCTGCTGCCAGGGTTCACAGGGGCCTTTGGTGGGGTGGTGTTCAGAGAGGGCGAAGCAGCCAGGGCTGCGCCACCTGTGGGGTCTGGTGGTGGTTGCCTCAGCACGCCAGGCATTGTCCAGGGCTTCCCAGAAAGCCGTAGTGGTGCTGGCCCTCCTTGCACCACTTCGGCAAATGACTTCTGTAGGAAAGTGTGCGTTGCACGCTATCGGGCTTCCCTGAAACTAATGTTTCAGGGAAGTGTGCTGCATTGTGTGCGTGTGTCTGACAGGCATGAGTGCATTCAACTTCTTAATTAAGTGGCTAGTTTATCATGTCATCATTTTAGCGGTTTGTTATGAACTCACTTCGTATGCGCAGCCTTTCTCAAAATATGTGAAGCCATTCCATAAATAACAAACTCTATTCATGGGCCAGTTACACACTTCCTGGAGCGAAACAATGATTTGGCCGAGTTGGTTCATAACTAACTGGGGAAAAATAGTTTCAAGTTGAGCGAATGTCCAGTGTTTCGTGTCTTCTTTGTCCCTGTCCTTTAGCACAACTTTTCCTTAGCGAGCTTAGTATCCCAAAAGTTAGGAGGTAGTAAAGCACATTTCTTCGCAATTGAAGTGGCTTTAGAGCAGTTCACTTCTTTGGAGAACTCTGTATGGCGAACCAATGACTGATACGACCATCCACACAGCGACTTCAAAACTTTTAACAAAGCTTTTCATGTAATTTCCCTACCCTATACTATTGGAAAGCTTTTGAAAAATACTTAAGCAAATTACTTTTTTTGAGATTATTGTATTCTACTACTTACTCATCTATTTCACTTCATAAGTTAGAAACTCTGACTTAATGCATCGGCACAAGAATTTATTTTTGTTGTGAAATTTAAGACTGAGTAAATGGGACATATCCCAGACGGCAGTGCCCACAGAAGGGCCACTGCAAGGTTTTAATGTGAGAGTGTTAAAGAGCTTGTTTCGTTAAAAATTCCGGTGTTGTCCGCATAAGCATCGTTGGTCGTGAGCAAAAAATCAGCACTGTTTTTGAGCAAAATTTCAAGTTCGGTGCAAATAAAGAAATAATTAAAAATCTACGGTTCAGGTGGGAATCAAATCCAGAACTTCTGTGCGTAAAGCAGGTATTCTACCAGAGTCACACCAGCACTTGAAGTTACACTAAAAAAAAACACTATAGGGTGATTCCACGTAAGATTGAACAAAGCATGGCGATCCTTTAAATTTATTTCAAATTTTTATATATTGTTAACTGATGAGTTGAAAGAAAAATATGGGTGTCCTCATGCAGTTGACAGCTAATTTAGTGCTGCTTGCCTTTCAAAAAACAGAAGCTTAGGCTTGCATTCCATACTTCGCGGGCAGGAAGTCCGATCTATTGCCTATTCTTGCACAAGGGCATTTTTTGATGGGCTATAATCGCAAGTAAAACCATAACATGCAACATTTGTTTATTGATTGTGAAAGCTGATGTGCAATAGAATAAGAAGGGAAAGTTTGAGAAATATCAGAAATGTTTTTTTTTTATCATTATTAGAAGTTTCCCTTGCATGCCATTTTCTAAAAATTAGTGCAATTATATCTTTTTATTCAAAAGTGTTAATAATATAAGCTTTGGCAGTTTTATAAATAAGCATGCTGAGAAAGTAGTGCAGAATTTTCGCCACTCTGTCAGAAGCCCTTTTTAAAATAAAGGCCTGCAAACTAGTTAAAAAAACGTTTTTGGGTCTATCTTGAGATTTTTGAATAAAAATATCTGAACTACCCAAAGAGCTAAAAATAACTGAACGCAAGCACAAATAAGCATGTATTTTGGTAAAGAAATTTTAGTTACGTAGCTTTAATATATTTTGTGTAATTGATCACCAAAGTCGGTAAAAACAGCAGAGCAGATGAGCGTGGCACTCCACCTCTTCGTCATTACTGATTCACTGTGCTTCAACAAATTTTTTTCAGGCAAACCCAACTGTGGATATCTTCCTTCCACTGCTCAGGCAACAACATATAAAATTTTGAAACATTTATGAGGTCGACCGACCGTGCTTTGTTCGATCTTACGTAAAATCACCCCATATGAATGTTATGTAATGCTGGGAGTGTTATTAACACTTGTGAGTGATATTGCGTGTCAGAAGCGTAGAAGCGCACCAGGCATCTAAGCAGGAGTCACTTGTGCAACAAGTGGTTGATTTAAAGGCCCACCAATTACAATGCACACATGCATAATTAATTTTCATTATCGACAACAGCATCAACAATGTGTGCCGCTGTAAGGGTGTGCGTGCTGCCTTATGAACAAGTAGTTGGTGCCTTTCCAGCCCGCAAAAGCAAGAATTATGCCTCAAGAAGCAGCAAAAGGCGGCCTAGTTGGTACATAACTAAAACTTGAAAAAAAAAAAAAACAGCGCTAAGACAGAATGGTTCCTTTGTACCATCTTAACGTCCTGTCTTTTTTTTTTAACTTTTGAAAAACTATGTCGTAGTGCACACTTCGCAACTGCATTTGTAGTAGGCATTAAAGGATAGTTTGAAATGGCCAATTTACAGGCACACAGAATTCCTTTCTTTGCAGCATGATTTTGGTGTTCACCAAGAAGTGAATCAAAGCTTGCAATTGGCAAAGCCGTGCGAATAGGGTATGACTACGCTATTGAATTCCACTCTTGAAGCCAAAGCTCAAGCATTCTTCAAGTTTGTTTTTTTTAACATCGTTAGAAAACTCTGTTAACCTGTAGTGAAGGATGGTTTGAACATGCAAGGTGAATATTATTGTGTTACATGCAGAAGAAAATTTACAATTTTATACTAAAACCTGGCAAATTTCATTTCATGGTGAACTGGCGTGCGAACTGAAGGCAACGTCGCCACTACCCTCGGTTTTGTGTCCTCCCAGCTCACTAAGCCTTTTCTCTAAGTAAGAGTGTCTTTTTTGGTATTGCAGAAACTCAAAGTATTTTTTTCTGGAGGGCCCTGTACGAAGTCGCACCGGGCCCTCCAGCTCACTCTCAGAAAGAAATGCCGGCCATATTGTTTTTGTAAAGGAGTTGCAAAAACGGCAGTCAGGTGCCATGCAGACAGCCAGAAAGAAGAAAGGAAAGAAAAGAGAGGCCAGCAAGTAGTGCAGCCTAAGTGCTCACAGAGAGGCAACTTGCCAGCGTCGCACAGCGCAGCGGAGGCAAAGTGAGGCCGTTCTTCTGACGAGGACTCATCCAGGCTGAGCAGGGGCACATCATCGAGGCTGCTCTGCGACTTGGAATCGGCGTCCAGTCGAGACCCCTCGTTACTGGCTATACTACCAAGGCCTGCCACACCATCATGCCGAGGTTTCTCTTTCTTCTTGCGCTTTTTATCTTTGGCTCGTGCGTCCCGCTTGCTGTCATCGTCGTGGTACTCCGACTCAAAGAACAGCATCCTGTAGCATGTGCAAACCACGAATGTTTGTACAGAGTATAAAGAAGAAAACAGAATTGAATAATCTACCAGAGCATTTTATTTAGAACACTTGTACTAAAAAACTAACAATTAACATTAATTTCTCTGGCATTTGTTCAGACCCAAAATAATCTAATAATGCTGCACTTATCAGCTATCAATGTGCTAATTGAGTTGTTGAACTTATGTTTATCATAACATCAAGACAAGTGACGTGGTTCATAAGTATTACAGGAGGAGGACCCGAAGTAAACACTGTCATGTGGACCTCCTGGCGATATTGTATTGATTGAATACAAGCCAGGTAAATAGAGACGAAAGGAAAAGCATATTGAGAAAAAAAGTAAACAATTTGAAAGCATGAAATTAAACAACAGTGAAATTAAACAAAAGCAAAGGAATAATACATATTAAAACAAATCAACACAAACTATAAGTTGACAAGGCATAAAACAATTCACACAGCACAAGAGACAGTAAAAGCATAATTGCTATAAAAAATTGATGAAAACAAATGAAAATGAAAGAAAACCATATATACCTTAAGAAAGCGACATAGGAATTATCACGAAATGTTACAAAGATGATGAAATAAATGTTCTTCTTTTAATTTGAACTTTAGGTGATGTTACATTGTGGTAGCATTTAATGAACATAGGTAGCAAGTTCAATAAAAGGTAAATAGCAGAAAAAAGGGTTGCCATTTTACCATAGTTTGAGTGAACCACCGGCAACAGTAAGCTATGTTGTAAGGAGAACCTGGTCAAATTTGTATTTATTAGATAACGGTATGGGATACTTTTTCATTCAATGTCATGCTGACACATGCAATATATGAGCATACCTAGTTGCAGTGATATGAAATGATGCATGGGGAGAATACCGAGATTAAAATAGATGGGTGTAGCGGAGTCTCTCCAGTGACTAAAGGTAATAATTCTTATAGATTTTTTTCTGTAAATGAGCAATCTTGGACAAATTAATTCTATAAGTATTTCCCCAGGATGAAGAACAGCATGTTAGGTAACTATGAATGAAGGCGAAATATAATGAATGAGGTGTGCGGAAAGTATGTGTGCACATTTAATTCAGAACACATTTACCTAAAGAAATTTTGGACAAAACAGCGGCAATGTGCTTATCAAACTTTAGGTGAGAATCAATGGTAACACTAAAAAATGTGGCTGCTTCGGTGGGATGAATAACATATGCATCTACATATTGTTAGGTGTGGCACGAATCGCATAGCTTTACATGGGGAGTAAAATAGCATGAATTTAGTTTTAGGTTGGTATATTAGGATCATAGGAGAACCAGTGCAAAAGACCAGGACAGAAAAGGTACACATACAACCACACGTTGCGCTAACTGGCAACTGAAGCTTATTGCGGCGAAAAACGTAAATAAATACATATCCGCGTATCAGCCATTGTCCAAGAAATAAAGAACAGAAAGAAAAAGAGACAAAGATGGAAAAAAAGATATCAAATGCACATAGATGCAAAAAACTTTGAGCACACGACACCAATGATAGGCAGGATATTCCAGCAGAAAGATGCACAACTTCATTGTCAATTAATAAAACATAGGAAGTGCTTACACATCTATCTTTTCACATGGCAATATTGTGGGCCTCAATTATTTATTGCGTTAGTTGATTTCAGTTGACAGCTAATACTTCACATTTGCCAAATTCAAGATTGCAGCTGCACTGTTTGCAATGAATAGCCCTTTTTACGCCATACTGGTGTTCCCGAAGCCTCCCATTGGTAAATCTGGAGCAGCTGCTTCACGAGATCCACTCCATGGAGTCTCATGCCTTGAAACAGTGCCAACTATGGGCGCGTCACTGGCCGCGGTCTCGTTAGTTGCACCTCGCGTCGGAGCTTATGTTTTGCCAGCGTAGCGGCGCTGTGCCCAGCGTGCCTACTCAAGCAAGAAGCGAGACGCACGCATCGCATTACATTCTGACCCCGCCATTTGCTCCCGAGGGAGGACGTGTGTTTCATTGGCAGATTTCCTTCTGTTTCTTTGCACCAGAGTGAAGTGCTCTAGCGCTGAGTTCGTCAGCCACTCCGAATCTGCCAAGCGATGACACCGATAGTCACAGCACAGTGTCGCACTACATGAAGCGAGAATACTCTGCGCATTTGACTTCCCAATATTTATTTTCAGGCAATAGAAAAACATGCTGTCTCTGTGTAGTTCCTGTTCTCCCGACTGCAGTGGTGGGAATGCCTTGCAGTAACTTGAAGCAGCCACTAGAGCAGGTAAAATCTACTTTTGGGGCAGCTACCTCTGTGTTTTGAGCATGCATAGGCTTTCCATGACACACACAGAGCAAGAACATTTTTTAGCTTTAATTCAGTTTAACGTTCCCTCAGTTTACATAATAATTTACAGTTAAACCCCTGTATAAGAGGCATGCTCCGGCCCCGCCGCGGTGGTCTAGTGGCTAAGGTACTGAGCTGCTGACCCGCAGGTCACGAGTTCAAATCTTGGCTGCGGCGGCTGTGTTTCCAATGTAGGCGGGAATGTTGTAGGGCGGTGTGCTCAGATTTGGATGCACGTTAAGGAACCCCTGGTGGTCTAAATTTCCAGAGCCCTCCCCTACAGTGTCTCTCATAATCATGTAATGGTTTTGGGATGCTAAACCCCACATCAATCAAGAGGCATGCTCCGGGCAGCAATTCTTGTCTTTTATATGAGATGTCTTTTATAAGCAGAGTACCTGGTATGCATTTTCTTATCAACCCATATTTTACTGTAAGGACACTGGTGGATCTTTTACCCATTTGTCTTTTATATCAGTGTCTTTTATAAAGGGGTTTGACTGTATACAGAAACAGCAAGCCCACGAAATAGGAAATTAGGATTATGTACAGAAGTGGTGACATAAGACAGTGAAAGATATTGCACCAATAAGCTAGCTGCAGCATGAAGCTCATAGCAGTACACACACATGCTGAGAACCTGCCGGAAACACCGCTAACTATGCACTAAACGTAGTATGTATTAACCACCATGTACGTGTGCGCAGGGCTTTAGGGGGGAGCAGAAGTTTCTCGCAACGCCCTCTCTTTCTATCATGTCAATATATGAGGCTGACTTCGCTGCCCCCTTTCCCTATTATGTCAATGTATGGGGCTGGCTTGGAACCCCCCTTCTTTTGCTCCACCATGCACACGCCCATGACGAAGTACGAATTTGCATTCCTTTACATGCGCCGTCATCGCTAAAGAAGAAATAAATACAGTGGCACAGCAAATATTGCCTAAAGTGCCCACCACGAAGCCATTACTTTCTTTTTGCCAAAGTTTAGAAATGATTGAAATTCTCGCATGACTGTCCGATGGCACGCGGTGGCGACACCAAAGAGCGTTTCGAGCGACTGACATAGTGATGAAATAGACATAATCGGCTGCCCGCAATAAATTTGTATAACGATCTACTACTTTGCGAAGACCGGCAGTTTTTTTTTTTTTTTTAACAAATGGTTTGGTTGCAGGGAACTGATCGTCTACTGGCTAGTTACGTCGCTTACTTGGCGAACACATCGTGCTGAGCCGCTTGCGCCCACTCCGCTTCAGACAATGCACAGATGCGGTGAGAAGCCTGTTATGTAAACATGACGAGAGTTTTCTGGAAGGGATGCTTTAGCGGTCTTGGCAACGGACGGAGGCGCGTTTGGGCTGTTGCTTCATGAAAGTGTGGGCTACGCTTGCTGTCTCGGTTCTCACGATCCAGAACGCTCAACTCCGCAACAGCGAGCTGCTTTCACTTCTGCAAAACGGTGCACGCTGAACACTGTCCCGCACAACGATTGAGGTGGCAGGAATCGGTGCTTCAGCGATCTCAGGTACTCACCGGCCATTGAAAGCGTTCAATAGGCTTAGAGCGGCACTACACCCCACGTAGGATTTTTGTAGGCTATCAGTAATACTGGCATGCTTTATGGTAATCACCACCTCATTTTCATTCTTCGCCAAGGATTACCAGAAAAGGCACTGCCGCAATCGCGCAGAAGTCAGAATAATTGATCGGTTGATTTTATGCTTTTGAAGCAGTGTAAATACTTGATCGCGTCAACATTACTTTCGGTTACAAAACCACCTTGTGGCGCAGCAATGCTGCAAATCAGACAAAAAAGACCATTTTGGAGCAGTATGGCACAGGTTTCCCACCCCAGCGACTGCGAATTCGTGATCGCGTAAAGGCACTGACGACAGAGTTGACAATGTGAACATATATATAACAGAACAAGAATTTTTGTGCATAATTTACACATTCCATTTTACTGTTTGAGCTCCCGTGATCCCTTGTTTCATTAGAGTTTGATTGGGCTAATTTATTAATTTGCCGTTTGGATACAGATGCCCCTCCAAGCTGCCAAAAACATACAGCCGTTTTGTCACATTTACCAAAAGGGCCATAGACAAAACAACTGAAGGACTTGCCACAGGCGCATTCAGAAGAAAAAATTCTGCAGCATGAGCATTCTCGTGGTGCTAATAAGCACTCAGTATCTGGGCACAAAGTGTTTAAATCAGAAAAAGTTCATAAGTAAAGTACCGCTATGCGAGGCTGTTAATGGTGATACTGTGACTTTAAAAGCAATGGTGGAAGCTTCATTCAGTGTGGCAAAAGGTATACAAGGACGGAGCAGTGCTTACATCAGCTGGTAATGTGAAAGAAGCTGGCTGTGAGTGCTGTTTTTGTATCAATAAAAAAAATCCCAGCTTTGCTGCAAAGGCGAAGCAATGAATGCAATAGCAACAGATTGAAATGTCACGTGAAGAATGGCAAGCAGATCAAAACGTGCTCAAAACGTGCCCCGCTTATAGTTCCGCCGCGACCGGCATCGCCGGCGGTACCTGGTAGAAAAAAGCGCTTGCCGTTCAGCTTTGGAGGAGGTGCTTCTTTGTGGCTCAGTGGCCAACGCCACACAGTCACAACCAAGAGGTCGGGCGTTCGATTCCG